AATTCAAAGATAATATAACAGTGTTTTAAAAAGTATTCCCATTGTTCCCTACACCATGCTGTGTGAATCACTGTGAAGAGAAGTGTTTTGGAATTGGGTTGGTTTTTTTTTGGTGGGGAATATATATATAAATTCATTCCAAACAACTTGAGGGATTGTTTTATATCTGCACAGTTAAGGAGCTGTATGTCAATTTGCATTGGTAAAAAGTATATACAGTATTAGCACTTTTTCCTCAGTCAGCTGAGGCTGAATTTAAATTCAAAGAAAGGAAATTTTGATTTTGTCAGAGCAAAGGGATTTTGTAACCCAACTGACATTCACTATTTATGGATGTTGCATAAAATGATTTAAGGAAACAGTGTACTTTAGCAAAGAACAGCAAAATCCTTTGGTAAATCTAAAGGAAATGATGTTATAACTGCATTCTGTTGCTTTGCTGATGTTCAGCCCTCTCACCCATTAATAGTTTCTGTTCCCACTAAATGTCAAATGCTGTAATTAGGGATAATTAACTTCTGTAGAGATGAAGACTAGTGGGTGTATTTTTTATCATGTTTGCATTGTATTATATCAGTGTAATATACTGTATTACAACAGTTGACTTTATACCATCATGTAAAACAGAAAAACAAACCGACATTTATACTGAAATTAAAAATATAAATTACTGTACTCACGACTTGCTTTATTTTTTCCTTGTATGAAAATATTTGAGTATTTTGCTATGGAGACCAATAACTCTATTCAGTTGTAATTCATATGCCTGTATTAATCAAAGATACATTTTTAACTGGGTAAAATAGTAATAAAAATTGACAGGTTTGTAGTTAATGATAAAAACATTATGAATTTTCCATTATGAAAAAAAGATAAACCAGTTTAGGGAGGAAAAAGCCAATAATGAACCTACCTCTTAATTTATTTTTACTCTAGCCTGTTCTCATCCTCCAGTGTTTTTCCCCCTTAATCATTGTTACCGGTCTAAATATTTTTATTAAAAAGCTAATCTTTAATACACAATTATTTGATTGTAAAAATTATTAAAATATTCACAATTTGACTTCAAATAGGCTTTTCTATTGGTAATAGATTAATGAGTTTCCTCTAATTTGCACTGCTGGAGGGTTGGTTTCTTCGAGTGTTTGCTCATGTCGATTCCATTCTAGGTGTGTGCGTGCCCACCTGCAGTCGGAGATTTTGGCCTTTGCAGTACCTGTAGGGTGGGCTGTAGTTCCCTCTTGAGTGCCACGCTCATGCACTGCCAACCCTATGCCCTCTCAGTTCCTTCTTACCACCCGTGATGGTTGGTCGTAGTGCCTTGTCTTGGATCGCAAGAGCATTAGCAGTTCTTACAGTCCATTGTTCTGTCTCCTTTGTTGTTATAATAATATAGATTCTAGGACTGGAAGGGACCTCGAGAGGTCATCGAGTCCAGTCCCCTGCCCTCATGGCAGGACCAAATACTGTCTAGACCATCCCTGATAGACATTTATCTAACCTACTCTTAAATATCTCCAGAGATGGAGATTCCACAACCTCCTAAGGCAATTTATTCCAGTGTTTAACCACCCTGACAGTTAGGAACTTTTTCCTAATGTCCAACCTAACCTCCCTTGCTGCAGTTTAAGCCCATTGCTTCTTGTTCTATCCTTAGAGACTAAGGTGAACAAGTTTTCTCCCTCCTCCTTATGACACCCTTTTAGATACCTGAAAACTGCTATCATGTCCCCTCTCAGTCTTCTCTTTTCCAAACTAAACAAACCCAATTCTTTCAGCCTTCCTTCATAGGTCATGTTCTCAAGACCTTTAATCATTCTTGTTGCTCTTCTCTGGACCCTCTCCAATTTCTCCACATCTTTCTTGAAATGCAGTGCCCAGAACTGGACACAATACTCCAGTTGAGGCCTAACCAGAGCAGAGTAGAGCGGAAGAATGACTTCTCGTGTCTTGCTCACAACACACCTGTTAATACATCCCAGAATCACCTTTGCTTTTTTTGCAACAGCATCGCACTGTTGACTCATATTTAGCTTGTGGTCCACTATAACCCCTAGATCCCTTCCCATTCTGTATGTGGGTGCAGTCTCTTCCCATTCTGTATGTGTGAAACTGATTTTTCCTTCCTAAGTGGAGCACTTTGCATTTGTCTTTGTTAAACTTCATCCTGTTTACCTCAGACCATTTCGCCAATTTGTCCAGATCATTTTGAATTATGACCCTGTCCTCCAAAGCAGTTGCAATCCCTCCCAGTTTGGTATCATCTGCAAACTTAATAAGCGTACTTTCTATGCCAATATCTAAGTCGTTAATGAAGATATTGAACAGAGCCGGTCCCAAAACAGACCCCTGCGGAACCCCACTTGTTATGCCTTTCCAGCAGGATTGGGAACCATTAATAACAACTCTGAGTACGGTTATCCAGCCAGTTATGCACCCACCTTATGGTAGCCCCATCTAAGTTGTATTTGCCTAGTTTATCGATAAGAATATCATGCGAGACTGTATCAAATGCCTTACTAAAGTCTAGGTGTACCACATCCACAGCTTCTCCCTTATCCACAAGACTCATTATCCTATCAAAGAAAGCTATCAGATTGGTTTGACACGATTTGTTCTTTACAAATCCATGCTGGCTATTCCCATCACCTTACCACCTTCCAAGTGTATATCTCCATATTATATGGAGGTATACCTATCTCATAGAGCTGGAAAGTCATCGAGTCCAGCCCCCTGCCTTCACTAGCAGGACCAAGTACTGATTTTGCCCCAGATCCCTAAGTGGCCCCCTCAAGGATTGAACTCACAACCCTGGGTTTAGCAGGCCTATGTGCAAACCACTGAGCTATCCCTCTCCCAAGTTGATAGGTACTTAGTTAGACCTTTAAGTGTTAGGTTGGTTGTTTAGGAGTTAGAGTCCCGGCTGGGACTTCGCCTTAAAGCTGGGCATACACCGTTCCCCAGGCTTTAAGCCATGTTCATCATGCAGCCGGCCAATGCCCATTAGTGACCCCCATGAGAGCTGTTTAAAGTGTTTGGGGGAGTCCACAGAAAGGATAAGTGCAGATCTGCAGAAACTTTCGCCCTCAAACTCATGCATTCCCTAGCCTACATTGAAAGGACCAAGCCATTCCACAAGTTGACGCAATTGTTCGTCGCGGTGGCCGACAGGATGAAAGGTCGTCCAGTGTCCACTCAAAGAATTTCTTCTTGGATCACTGTCTGTTTTTGCTGCTGCTACAATCAGGCGAAGGTGCCACCTCCGGCGATTGTCACCGCCCACTCAACCAGGGCGCAAGTCTCTTCGGCAGCTTTCCTAGCCCAAGTGCCTATCCCAGGACATCTGTAGGGTAGCCACCTGGTCATCTGTCCACACGTTCACATCCCATTACGCACTTACCCAGCAGGCCCAGGACAATGCTGGCTTCGATAGAGCAGTACTGCAAGCCACTGAACTGTGAACTCAGAGCCCACCTCCGAGGATACTGCTTGTGAGTCACCTAGAATGGAATCTACATGAGCAACCACTCAAAAAAGAAAAAACCTGTTACCTACTTTTTTGTAACTGTTGTTCTTCAAAATGTGTTTTCTCGTGTCCATTCCATTACCTGCCCCTCTGTCAGAGTTGCTGGCAAGAAGAAACTGAGAGGGCATAGGGTCGGCAACGTCTAATATACCAGCACGTGAGCGAGGCACTCAAGAAGATGCTACAACCAACCCTACAGCTACCACTAAGACAAAAATCTCCCATGGGTGCGCACCCACCTAGAATGGAATGGACATGAGTTACAGTTACGAAAAGGTAGGTAACCATTTTTCTATGCCATTTTTGATGCTGGTGTGCTGTGACCATTGCCTAGCATACTGACCAAATATTCTCATTGTTCCTTGTGCTTCCCTGTCTGTATCCATTTGTTATCCCTTGTCTTACACTTAGATTGTAATCTCTTTAGGGCAGGGATTGTTTTTTGTTGTGTGCATGTCCACCACCTAACACAATGGAGTCCTGGTTGCTGCAGTAATACAAATATGCAGTTTACACACCTCAACTAGCTTTGCACCATACCCATCCATTAGCCTAGTGCCTCTTGCTTTTCGCTGTCACGGGCGAGTGTTCACGTGTGACATCTCTAGGGGCTGGAGAATGAGAACAGGCCTGTGGGGGGGGGGTAAGAGCTCACCTCCTGAGGGAGTTTGTGGCAACCCAATTATTTAATATAGTTCCTTGAGTAGTAGGTGAGCAGCCCTACCAGTGAAATCAAAGCAGGGAGGCCTTAGTCCCAGGCCCAGCTCTCAGACCATGGGCCTGGCCAACACCATGGGACGGGGCTTGTGATCTAACGGCCATAAAATGTGTATCCTGTGTGTTCCCTTCCTGCCTCTTTCCTCCCAGGGCCTCGTCTGGGCCTGTTCTGGGCCCCTTATGTCTCCCAGCCTCTTTCCTTTCCTCTGTCCTCCTCAACTAGGCCTGTTCTTGGCCCTTTGTGTCTCCCAGCCTCCTTCCCCACTGCCTGGTCTGGGCCCATTCCTGCCCCCATCTTGTGTCCTGGTCTCCTTTCCCGCCCATAGCCCCCAGGGTCAGGACAGGCCCACCCCAGCAGGAGCTGCCCACCAGCAGCCCTGGGCAGCCAGAGGCGCCTGTCCCCAAGCAGCCTCCTGGGGCAGGGGACACCCCTGGCTGGGGCTAAGGGGACTGGGCCCTGCTGCCCCCACGGTGGGGGGCTGAAGGCTCCTCCCCCTGAGAGTGGCCCCGCCCCTCCTAACCCAACGGCCACAGAACCCTCTGCCCCCGAACGTTCTACGCCGGGCAGCGCGGCGGGGCACGAGGAGGCTCCTGTTGGCCGCAGCGGCCCTCCCCGCCGCAGGGGGCGCTGCCACGGGGCGCCGCCACCCCGCTGTCCGGCGGCGGAGGCGGGCGCTGCTGCCGTCCCACGGGGCTGTGCGCGGAGGGGCGGCCCCGCACATGGCTCGGCTGCGGCCCGGCCCCGTTCCTCCGGCACTGAGCGCGCGAGCTCCTGGGCCTGCGCGCCGCCCCGCGGGGATGATGCAGCCGGGAGCCGCGCGGAGCAGCGCCGGGGGCCGTGCGGAGTGAGGCGGCCGCGGGCCCGAGCCCCCCGGGCGGGGCGATGCTGTCCCGGAAGAAGACGCGCACGGAGCTCTCCAAGCCGGGCGAGGTGCAGGGCAAGTACGTGAAGAAGGAGACCAGCCCGCTGCTCCGCAGTGAGTGTCCGGGGCGGCGCGGCGCCGGGGGGAGCCTTGGCCCGCGGGCTTGGGGGGAGGGGGCGAGGAAAAAGCGCCCCCCGGGGGGCAGTGGGGAGCGTGCCCCGGGCCTGGACTTGTGGGGCAGTGGGGAGCGGCCCCCCAGGGGGCAGTGGGGAGCGTGCCCCGGGCCTGGAGTCGTGGGGCAGTGGGGAGCGGCCCCCCAGGGGGTAGTGGGGAGCGTGCCCCGGGCCTGGAGTTGTGGGGCAGTGGGGAGCGGCCCCCCCGGGGGCAGTGGGGAGCGTGCCCCGGGCCTGGAGTCGTGGGGCAGTGGGGAGCGGCCCCCCAGGGGGTAGTGGGGAGCGTGCCCCGGGCCTGGAGTCCTGACTGGGGGGAAAGAAGACACCCCCCCAACACCCACCCCAGGAGGTGGGCAGGGGCCTATAGTGACACCCTGCCCACCTGATGTGATGGTAAAACCTCTGTTCTTTGACTGCAATTGAAGGGGATCCTTATCAACTTGATATGTAGGATCCGAGGGGACAGCTCAGATGCATGTGAACGGTAAGAAGTATGTGCCAGTGTACATAAGTTGTACATATTTGAATTGTTGGTGATTGCTTTTATTTTAAGGATACATTTCACGGAAGGGACTGTTTTTCTCCTGTGTTTTGTTTATACATTGCTGAGTGTAATGGGCACCAATCCCAATATAGGGTCTTTTGGGCACTACCACAATAGGAATACATCAAATAAAAATTAAGTCTGTTAAAACTTTTGAGGTACTACACCTGCCCATAAATCCTCTAGCCAGCTGGGATTGCATGATATTTACCAGAGATGGTTTTTACCAGCTAAAATCATGGTTTTTACTGCCCTGGGAAAAACAGTTAGTCCCAGTTTAAGGTATTTTCGGTTTTAAAAACGGTTTTGTTAATGCACACCCCATTACACTTAGTTTTAGTTACCTATTAAAATTGTGGTTACATAAGGCAGCAGATTCAGAGATTAATTTAGGGTTGTACAAACAAAAAGTGAAACTGCAGAGGATGTAATACTAATACATGTAACTATAATAATGAGCATCAGAATGTCTGTACGTTTTTGGTTTAGTATTTTCTCAGGGAAGTTGTGTGTCATCAATCTTCAATATTTTATAAACAAAAGTCAAACGTTTGATTATGTGAAAATGACAGTAATGCAGATTTGTGGGCTTGAAGCATTAAGCAATCAGAAGCAGGCAGAGTTTGACTGCCAGTCTAGTTCCATTTGGCCATACAGAATTCTGTAGAAGCCCAACTTTGATGTAGCGGATAGTTCCTCATTTTTCAGTGGATATATCAAACATTTGAAAAGACTCATTCTAGGCTTGCAGAACTTGCTGGACACTGGTGCAATTATTTTTCCCTGTTTAACCCCAGTTTAAGCCAGATTATACTAACACGTGGTCCTCCTAAACTAGTTTTTCCCAGGAAATTGTCAACCCTACTAGCCAGCTTTTGATGGTTTTAAAATATTCTCCCCTCCATTAAAAAAAGAGAGAGTTCTTTTCCTTGTTGCTGTATGGAAGACCTATGTGAAAAGGGGAAACTGTCTATACACAAGTGTTGTCAAATGCACTTTGTAAACAAACTTCTCTAATCTCTCAGTTCTGTGTGAAGAAGATACTGTCTTCTACAACTGAAGTGTGATTTTTATTTAAATTCACAATGTTCCTTTAATAACTTGTTCATATGAATTGGAGCAGTTCGCAGCTCTCCTAAAGTCAGTGTTCTTTTTTGCAAGTTAAGGCTATATTTTCATTGCCAAAAGAGCGGGGGGAAGGAGAGGGGTTATGGTAAGATAACTAATGTGTGATACTTATCTCACTGTAAAATCCTAATAGAGACAAGGCATGTGTAGTTTTTTACCAGGAGGTAGCTAGGCAAGGTCAGCACTGTACTCCCCACCTGTCGGTGATCCTGTGACTAATAGGATTTTACAGCAGGCTAGCTAATATAGTTAGTTAACCTATGGTAAAAACACATCTTTTTTTAGCGGTAAAGACAAAGCCGGAGTGTGACAGCAGTGCATCATGTTGTTTGAACAGTTACCTTTGCAACTGCAAGAGCTGAAAACATACTTTTGGGAAATGAACTTTGAACTCTTTAGGTTGTGCTCTTTGAGTTTTGGAATGTGTTAGTTTTAAAATTTAAAAACTGTTACACAAATTCAGTATCATACTGTAAATTATGAACTAAATCATTTTAGCCATCTTAGTAAAAGGGGTTTAAAAATTCTATTCTCACTAACAATAATCTGATAACCAGTTTTGCATGTACAGCTCAAAAACGGCTGAAGATATAAAGTAATAGCATGGTATTACTGTATTTCAGTGAGAAAGGAGACAAACTAGATTTAAAAATAAAAGGTATAATATTTTTAAACTTGTAAAAAGTTTAAAGTTGTCTATACATTAGAAATGTTTTCAGTGTTTTGTTGTGAAATAACAAGCCATTGTGTGCTCTAGTGTCATAGCACTTCTTATGGCACATGATTTATTCATTGCATCTACTGAGGTGTAATTTAAAAGACAAACTTCAGAAACCGTTATTGAATACATTGGCATATTTTTCCTTCTGAGTGAGGCCTACCATCTGGGTTGGTGTTTAACTTGATAGAGGCAAAATGGTTTAGATTCTGAACCAGTATAGCAATTAATGTTCATGTCTTATGGCAGTTTCCTTAAAGCTGAGCTATTAAATGCTATGATACATTAATGTAACATTAAGGTTGAGAAATTAAGCATTCAGAATTACAGCATTGCTAGCTAGGCCATGTTATATAGATACAGTAAAGTATAGGTTCTATTCCTGGGTGTGTACCACAGATTTCCTGTGAGACTGTGGGAAAGTCACTTATGTACTCAGTCACTGTAAGTACAGAAATGCAGACCTCATGATAAGGCATTAGATTGGGAGTTGAAAGATTTGAGTTCTGTTCTGCCACTGATTTGCTGTGTGACTTTGGACAAGTCACATGAACTCTGTATTTTGATGGCAAGCTCTTCTGGGCAAGAACTGCCTCTTACTATATGTGTATATGGTGCTTCAGTCTCAGTTGGGGTCTTTAGAAGCTAGTGAAATACAAATAATTTATGTTTGTTGCATTTGTACCTAGAGACGCTGTTGTGCTAGTCACTGTACAAACAGAGTAAAAGCCTCTCTTCTAAAGAGCTTACAAGCTAATTAACTTATCTTTGCCTCAATTTTTCAATCTGTAAAATGGGGATAAGTTGATGGATGTTTTGAGGCTTACTACTAGATGCTTTGAGATTCTTTCGTGGTATTTGAGATAGAGAAATGAAAAGCAAAGTGAGCCGGTGCTCTGAGGTGGTACTGAGATCTCCCTCAGGCGCTGGGCTGACTGGTTCTTACTCACGTGCTCCAGGGGTCTAACGGATCACCATATTTGGGATGTGGAAATAATTTTGTCTCAAGTCAGGTTGGCAGTGACCTTGAGGTTTTTTACCTTCCTCTGCAGTGTGGGGTACAGGTCATTTGCCAGGATCTCATTTAATCAATTTCCCTGCTATTGCTAAGGCCTTGAGCATTTGTACCCTCTGGTCCCTCATGTTCTCTCTTGGTGGCACACAGTAGTTTAGTCTCCTATGGGCTCTAATACTTTGGTATAATTCCGTATGTTGGATTTAGTGTGCATGTGACTGTAATGTGTTGGTGGCCTGTGATATATCCAAGGTCAGACTAGTTTATCTGATGGTCCCTTCTGGATTTGGAACTCTAACTGTATATTTGTTTAAAATGGCTGAGTTAATGTTACTGTGAAAACTTTAGCTTTGAATTTCCTGATTTCTACGATCTAATTTAGCATTATGGTCAACCAATTAGCATACCTATTTTGCACCTAACTTGGACATTTGTTGTAGCAAAGTTTGTATTTAAATTACAATGTTTTACTCTTACAGATCTGATGCCTTCATTTATCCGTCATGGTCCGACCATTCCACGGCGAACTGATATCTGCCTTCCTGACTCGAGCTCTTCTGCCTACTCTGCTGCAGGGGATGGAATAGTTTCTAGAAACCAGAGTTTCCTTAGAACTCCAGTTCAGAGGCCACCTCATGAAATAATGAGGCGAGAAAGCAACAGACTATCTGCGCCTTCCTATCTTGCAAGAAATTCGGCTGATGTCCCTCGGGAATATGGTTCTTCCTCCCAGTCCTTTTTAACAGAAGCTAACTCTGTTACAGAAAATGGAGATGCTGGTGCCCGCTATTACTATGATTTTTATGATGGTCAAAGGAGGCATCAGCTAAGTGATCGTGTACATGAGAACTATAGATATTATGGACATAACAATGATCTCTTCCAAAGGATGTCACAGAGTCAAGGGAGGCATACTGCAGGCAAGTGGTTATTTTAGATAATGCATGGGAAATATTTTTGGTATGGAAATATTTCTTGATGATGCTTCTGGTCATGTTTTTTATTAGTATTGCTCTATATTCTCTAGTTCTCCTATTTTAATTACATTTCTGATACAAAGTTTGCTTGTTTATGTTTATGGCAACCAGGAAATAGGGTTGCATATATTCTGTGGAGAAGGAAAGGAAATGTGCATGGTTTTTAAAAAAAACAAAACAAAACAAAAAAACAAAAAAAAACTATTTTTTAAAGGTACTTTGTAGGATGGCTTTTTAATATTAAACTTATTTAACTCCTGACAGAATTGGAGATATCTTATATTCGTCCAGGCTTAAGCTTAATATTGTATTTTTTTTTACAAATACATCTATTAAACAGATTATACCATTCTCCAGAAGCCACATAGCCTTTATTTCTTTAAATAAAGTGATACACTTCTGAATTTTTAAAATAATTTTAAGTACACCTCTACCCCGCTATAACACGGTCTTCGGGAGCCAAAAAATCTCACTGCCTTATAGGTGAGACCGCGTTATATCGGGTCCGGTTCGGTATGGCGTACCAGCAAGAGCCGGTACGCCGTGCCAGACTGGACCGGCTTCTCCAGTGGTGATTTAAAGGGCCAGGTGCTCCAGCCGTTGTGGGGAACCCCAGGCCCTTTAAAGTGCTGCCGGAGCTCCTGTAGCGGGGCTTGGGCGAGGATTTAAAGGGCCTGGGGCTCCCCACAGCAGCCAGAGCCTCTGGCCCTTTAAATCACTGCCCGAGCCCGGATGCCGGTGGCCAGGCTTGGGCGGCGATTTAAGGGTCCGGGGCTCCACACGAATTCAGATATAACGCGGTAAAGCAGCGGGGCTTGGGCAGCACTTTAAAGGGTCCGGGGCTCCCTGCTGCTTTACCACGTTATATCCGAATTTGTGTTATATCGGGTCGCATTATATCGGGGTAGAGGTGTATATAATGTGTACTGTCCGCCTATAAGTGACCTATTTTTCCTTATACATTTCAAGAGTTAAAATGAATACTGTATTTTAATTGAGTGCAAAATGGAAGCCAAGTGAGTGGTATTCTAAGCATGGATTATGAAGTACTCTTTCCCCTTAAATTATGACCAGCTCACTCAAAATACTGATGAGGTAAAATTGTCACACAATTAATTTTGGCTCACTTGCACATTTAATCCCCTTTGTTAAAATGCTATGAGAATTGACATGAATCATATCTGCACTCTTAAAATACATTCCTGTGGTAACATTGTAGCCATTAGTTGGCTTGCTTTTGCCAACTTGCAGTAGACTTTTGCTGTATCTATTAAATATGTATAGAATAACTGATGGCAATAAATTGTGGGTTGTAGTTTTGTTTATAAACAATCTGAAGTCAAATACCACAATAAAGAGGATAGAGTGCTTTGCTTAATCAAAACCTTGATGGCATTCCAGCACAGTAATTCTACATTTCTCTGCTCTGTGCGCTATGGCACTCCTGAATAATTTTTGTGTGGTGTTTTGTTATGAATCTTCTCCTTACAATGGAAAGCTACTGAAAATCTGTGAAACTTGTACAGCATCTGTGGAACCACTCGATTGGTCATAGAAAAGTGACCTTAAAAAGAGAGAACTTGTGTACTTATGTTCTAATATTTGATAAATATAAAACATCTTATACAAAGGGTATTTTAAAGAAACTATTTTAAACTTTAAACATGTACATAAGTGTTTTTGCTGTGAAATACATTCAGTTCATCTTTACGTGTAAACTAAAAGCAAAAGAGTAAATCTGCTGTCTCTAAGAAAACAACTCTGTTATCAAGAATGTCAAGACTTTAAGGTTACTGACCTCATGTATGGAATTTTTAGCTTGACAGAGAAATGCTTTTGTTACAGAAAACTTCTTATTCAGTGAATAGTTAGGGGGAAAACTGAGTTCCAAAGAGTAATGCTAGTAATACTGTTTAAAATCAGTAAATAATGAAGCTTTACTGTGAGGACTTTTATGCACTTTCATTTTGGTTTTATTTGCTAAGTGCTAAATAATACTTCTGATATGTTTGAACAAGTGTCATCCATATAAGTCATATGTTCCTATTAAATTACAACCATCAGTTTTTAAAAACCCTGTCTATTGTAGGAAACAGTGAACCATGGCTGAAACCGTTTCCCCAAAGCAATATTGAAAATGATTTAAGTGCTAATATAGGCTGGTCAGAACAGTTTTGGAAAACATTATTGATGCTTGGTGGAACAGCAACAGTCTTTGATACCCTGGAAATGGAAATCTGGGTTTCTTTTTATGTGATTAAAAGGGACACTGTCAGTTGAAATCTAGTTAATTTCCAAACCAAGTTAAAAGTAGTTGTTGGTACTGTCTCTGGGTCACCCTGCCAACTTTTTGTGATTTTACAGTCACATTTTTCTGTTTGTTTAAATGTTCTCTCCCCTGCAGCTATTTGAGACCTACACAAACAGCTGCTGACAGAGGACTTTCCTCTCTCTTCCCTTTTCACCTCTCTGGTTGCTGGAAAACAGAAGGGAGCTTCTAAATTTGGTTCTCTATTGTCAGTCATTCCCATATCTTTATTGCTCCTAGCTTGACTGAGCATTAGTAAAAGTGACTTAGATACTTGTCAATTCTAGAGGTCTCCTGTGGCAGTAGTAGAATCAGGGATTAAATCTGCTGCTGCTTAGTGTGAGGGGAGTGGCAAAAAAAGGACATTCTGTTCCTTTGCACAAAAGCACTGTCTTCCCCCCACAGCATGCAATTTTAAACTATTTGATGTGTTTCGTTGCCAATGAGAATGTGAACCCAAGTCTTTATCTTCAGTTCCCTCCCAGCTTCCTCTTCCTTCGCGTTTTTCTCAGCCTAGGTTGTAGTTGTTAGGGCTGTTGATTAATCGCAGTTAACTCACATGATTAACTCAAAAAAATTAATCGTGATTACTCGCTGTTTTAATTGCACTGTTGAACAATAGAATACCAATTGAAATTTATTAAATATTTTGGATGTTTTTTTACATTTACATATATATTGTATTCTGTGTTGTAATTGAAATCAAAGTGTATATTATTTTTTATTATACATATTTGCACTGTAAAAATGATAAACGAAATAGTATTTTTCAGTTCACGTCATATAAGTACTGTAGTGCAATCTCTTTATTGTAAAAGTGCAATTTACAAATATAGATTATTGTTTTTTGTTATATAACTGCAAAACTCAAAAACAAAACAATGTAAAACTTCAGAGCCTACAAGTCCACTCAGTCCTACTTTTTGTTCAGCCAATCACTAAGGCAAACAAGTTTGTTTACATTTACAGGAGATAATGCTGCACTCTTATTTACAATGTCACCTGAAAGTGAGACCAGGCATTTGCATGGCACTTTTGTAGCCGGCATTGCACGTTATTTATGTCCCAGATATGCTAAACATTCGTATGCCCCTTTATGCTTTGGCCACCATTCCAGAGGACGTTTCCATGCTGCTGATGCTTGTTAAAAAAAAAATGAGTTACTTAAATTTGTGACTGAACTCCTTGGGGAGAATTGTATGTCTCCTGCTCTGTTTTACCCGCATTCCACCATATATTTCATGTTATAGTAGTCTTGGATGATGACCCAGTACATGTTGTTCATTTTAAGAACACTTTCACTGCAGATTTGACAAAACGCAAAGAAGATACCAATGTGAGATTTCTGTGGATAGCTACAGCATTCGACCCAAGGTTTAAGAATCTGAAGTGCCTTCCAAAATCTGAGAGGGACAAGGTGTGGAGCATGCTTTCAGAAGTCTTAAAAGAGCAACACTCCGATGCGGAAACTACAGAACTCAAACCACCAAAAAGGAAAATCAACCTTTTGCTGGTGGCATCTGGCTCAGATGATGAAAATAAACATGTCAGTCTCCAGGGCTTTGGATTGTTAGGGAGCAGAACCTGTCATCAGCATGGACATATGTCCCCTGGAATGGTGGTTTAAGCATGAAGGGACATATAACTCTTTAGTGCATCTGGCACGTAAATATCTTGCGATGCCAGCTACAACCGTGCCATGCGAACACCTGTTCTCACTTTCAGGTGACATTATAAACAAGAAGTGGGCAGCAGCATCTCCTGCAAATGTAAACAAACTTGTTTGTCTGAGCGATGGCAGAACAAGAAGTAGGACTGACTGGACCTGCAAACTCTAAAATTTTACATTTTTATTTTTGAATGCAGTTTTTTGTACATAATTCTACATTTGTAAGTTTCTTTCATGATAAAGAGATTGCACTACAGTACTTAGGTGAATTGAAAAATACTGTTTCTTTTGTTTTTTACAGTGCTTGTAATCAAAAATAAATATAAAGTTAGCACTGTACACTTTGTATGCCATGTTATAATTGAAATCAGTGTATTTGAAAATGTAGAAAACATCCAAAACTATTTAAATAAATGGTATTCTATTATTGTTTAACAGTGCAATTAATCACAATTTTTTAATCTCTTGACAGCCTTGTAGTTATCTTTTCAAAACCAAATTATTTGATAAGATTTTTTTACTGAAACTTCCTCATCTATCTTCCACCCCAATTCACCCCAGTTCTACCTTCCTTTATTCTTATTTGACTGAGTTATCATCAACTGTCTTTAATCCTTTAACCTATTCCCTTGGCCCTTCCTTTATCATCCTTGGCTCCCTCGGATTCCCCCCTCCCCTTTCTTCAACTGCTTCCTTTCCTCTGGCTCACTCCTCCATCTATTAAAAAAAAAAAAAAAAATTCTTTATCCAGTACGGTCTGCTGTCCTATCTCTTGTCTTTCCTTTGTCTCCAGAATTTTGGAGCATGCTTTTTACTTGCTGACTTCATGTCCTTACCTCAGTCCCTTTCTTTATCCCCCTCCAATCTAGCTTCCAACATCTCTACTTAATCAAAATTGTCTTAATCATAGTCACAATGACCAGGGCTTGAAAAAAAACTACTTAATGCCTACTAGTTCAAGGATTA